TCTCTCTCTCTCTCTCTCTCTCTCTCTCTCTCTCTCTCTCTCTCTTTCTCTCACTCTATCTCTCTCACACACGTACGCACACACAAACACACATGCACAAACACACACACACACACACACACACACACACACACACACACACACACACACCACACACACACGATTACAGAAACACACAGAAACACACACTCAAATGTGCTTACACTCAGACATAATGTAGAGTAGAATAATATATATGATTGTGAAACGAATATCTCCTTTCACGGAGCAATAAAGTTGTCTTTTTTTTCATCAATTCTCAAGTAGGATAAATGAATCACTGACTGCAAGTAAGCTTATCAAGGAATCTAGTTTCAATAAACTTGAGCTGCAAGCTGTACTAGATCTAGATCTAGTTCTAACATTTTGTTCTTCTTGTGTAAAAAAAAAACGAACAACTGAGACTCGCTAAAAATAATATAGCAATGGTTATACCGAACTGTCTTATTTCATCTTTAAGTTTGATTTTTTAAAATGTGGTTTGTCTGAATGTCGAATGTGTGAGAGAAGGTGTAGATTTTGATTTAATTTTTTTTTAAATTAAATTTTTGTAAATTGGTTTTGTGTCATAATGTACATGTATTTGTATTAACATGTATACATGATACACATGTACTTGTGCAAGGTTTAATACCCTTCCCTAAAACCACAATGAAAACAAACCAAAACACACAAACGAACAAACAAACAGACAAAAATCCCCCCCCCCAACAAACAAACCTCAAACAATAAACAAAACAAAAAACAAAACAAGAAACAAACAAAAACAAACGACAAAGTGCCTTATAAATCATTAATACATTCAACTTATGTATCACTGGGAGGCCTTTGAAAGGATTGGAAGGCCTGTGTTGTTGACTGTGATTGCGTTCTGGTTTTTAGACAGCAATAAAGAACTAATAATTGAAACTGAACAAAAGCGAGTCTGCCTTCCGTTTCTTCCAAGTTGGTACTATATTATACTGTTTTACTTGATGATATGCTAGGGAGTGGAACGATCTTGTGGTGTATTTTTGGCAAATTTAAATACGATACTACAAATTTGTACGCTCTCTCTCTCTCTCTCTCTCTCTCTCTCTCTCTCTCTCTCTCT